AAAAAAAAAAAAAAAAAAAAAAAAAAAAAAAAAAAAAAAAAAAAAAAAAAAAAAAAAAAAAAAAAAAAAAAAAAAAAAAAAACTCCAGAATATTCCCTAACCCCAAAATTCCCTAGCCAGGAGCAGGGCTCTACCCAACCCCGTTGTAAGCAGCTCCCCCGGCTCTGATTCCTAGCTCCTCAGCTTCGCCTCGTTGGCAGACCAAATCATAGCCCGCAAATAGAAACAATGACAGAAAAAAAAGAACACGGACCCATTTCCCTTAGCCAACCAATATTCGCTGAGCGTATGCACATGATGTCTTTGTATAACAGATTGATGATGGTGTAGATGTGTGTAAGATGGTGATGATTAGACGGGAACAAGCATGCTCCAAGATTTGGCCCACTGTCGATGCGCCGGCCATGCAGCTCAATCGAAGGGGTCCAAAGTCTTGGACCATTGTTGGTAGTAATAGATTGCGAGGGTGTGAAGTGAGCTGGTGGAAGGGGGGAGAAAACAATCAAATCCGCAACGCCATGCTTTTCTGTATGACAAGGAGAAAAGGAAATAAAAAAAGAAATCACGAGAAACGCCCTGGTTGACTTGAAGTGGTCAAGTCGATGCAAGTGAATGTAGTTTATCGGACAGCAACGGCGGCAGAGCCGATGAGACGCTCCCACAATGCGCGCCTGTGTCGCTTCTTGGTCGTCACCTCGTTCATCGGCTCGTAGGGCTCGACGGAGATGTCGTAGGAGAGCATTCGGACGCTGGGCGCATGCGTCTTGGGCTCGTCTCGGTCCATGACCACGACGGGCGAGTCGTACAGGCTGCCCTGGCTGGCACCGTACATGTACGGAGACGGCGACTGCTGTCTGCTGGAGGCGATGGACGAGGCATACGAGCTGGCGGAGCTGTAGACCAGGCTGGGAGGGGTGATGGACCCGTGGCTGGAGCCGCTGCTGCTGTGGGTGCGGTAGTGATCAGGGCTAGCATGGCGAGATCGGGAGCTCCGGATGGAGACCGGGCTGGGATACCGAGCGGCGGCGGCGTACATCTCCTGCTGGCGCTTCTTCTCCTCGCGGTGGCGCATCTTGCGCGCGTGCCTCTCGGCAATCTTGATGCGCACAGGCTCCAGGAAGAAGTCGAGCTCGCGGTACAGGTCGTGCTCGGTGATTCTCAGCTCCCACTCGAGCAGGAACAGCAGCTGCTTC